TTGGTGTTGATTAACAATAAGAGAAATACAAATTAAAACAACAAAGAGCTATTACCTCATACCGACACTCTGCAAAATTCAGAAAAACAAAATGACAAATGTTGGAGGGGATGTGGAGAGATTGGAGCATTCAGACATTGCTGGTGGGACTGTGGCATTGTACAGCCACTAAGGAAATCAGTATGGTGTTTCCTTAAACAAATGACCCTGCAGCCCCTCCGCTAGATACATTAAAGAAAAAAGAAACGATAAAAATCTCTGATTATAGAGGAATGGATAAACAATATCTTGAACATTCATACAATGGAACGTTATGCATCAATAAAACATGATGTTTACCTAAGCGAGTCAACCTTGTAAAGATGCATGTTTAATCACACCATTACTATAGGAAAACAGAAAAAGAGGAGGCCAGGGATGGAGTCAGGGTGAATGGAGGGACAGGAAATTATGGGACAGCACTTCTCAACCTGTGGGCTGTGACCCCATTGGGGGTCGAACAACCCTTTCACGGGGTCACGTGATTCATAACAGTAGCAAAATTATAGTGATGAAGTATCAACGAAAATAATGTTATGGTTGGGGGGGGTCACCACAACATGAGGAACTGTATTGAAGGGTCTCAGCATTAGGTTGAGAACCACCGTTATGGAGGGAGGGAGGGAAGAAGAGCAGGAGGAGGGGGAAAAAGAACCACATTAATTGGGGGAGGGGGATTCCTGACTGAGAGATTAGTACTGATTTGATGAGGTGGGTTGTGCACCTGCAGAGAATATGCTTTTCTTTAAAAACCTAAATCAATGAATGACGTTAAGATAAAAGCAACAATGTGCAAGGTAAAGACTCACAGTCTTAAAAGCCTCCCAGATTTCTTTAGCCCTGGACCTGCACATTGGTCCGAGTGGCTTAAAAGAGATGAAAAGTAAAACTGAAGTGGACTTGGATTCTTTAGCAAAACACAAATTCATTTCAAACATGAACAGCAACAATAAAGATTCTTTCCTGTTGTGCCCTGAAATGAAGGGCTGAATATCGATGGGGGAAAAGTCAGAGAAGGCCATTTCAATACAGGCAATTATAATTTTAGGGAACATTTTCTTAAGACCTTTTTAAAACCCTTCTCAGAATTAAAACCAACTAAAAGCCATTGAGCACAGTGTTTTAGCAATGAGTCATGGTTAGAAGCACTTCATGGTGCTCATAAGGGAACTGTGTGTTGACCAAGAAGCAATGTCCCCAGCAGAACAAGGGGATAGTGAGTGATTTGACATCAAGCAAGCTGGGTGCCAGAGTCGTATCCTTTCAATCTGTATGCTGAGCAAATTGCCTGAGAAGCTGAGTTCTATGAAGAAGCACCTGGCATCAGGCTTGGAAGAAGGCTATTCACCACACGCCATCTGCGCACAACACAGCCTTGCTTGCTGAAAGCAAGAACTTGAAGCATCTACTGATGGAATCAAAGACCTTTGGGCTGGATGACCACTAAATGTAAACACAAACAAACCGAAGCCCCACCCTCACAATTGGACCAATAACCAACATCGGATAAATAGAGAAAAGATTGAAGTTGTCAATTTCCTTTTACTTGTATCCCCAATCAATGCTTATGCAAGCAGTAGTCAAAAATTCAAATGACATGTTGCACAGGACAAATCTCCTGCACAAGAGCTCTTTGATGTGCTGAGGAGCAGAAGCATCATTTGGAAGGCTCCACCTTGGCATTTTCAAGTGTCTCTTATGCATGTGAAAATTGAGCAACGTATAAGGAGTAACAGAGAAGAATGATGCATCTGAATTACAGTGTTGGCACAGAATATTGGAAGTGCCATAGATTGCCAGAAGAACAAACAAATCTGCCTGGAAGAAGTACTGCCAGAATGCTTCTTAAAAGCAAGGACGGCAAGACTTCATTGCACATCCTTTGAGCGTGTCGTTGTTGTTAGGGTGCCATCGAGTCAGTTCCAACCGTAGTAACACTGTGTACAACGGAACAAAGCACTGCCCGGTCCCGCACAGCACTCACACGGGTTCTCAGGCTTGAGCCCCTGGCTGCAGCCATGGTGTCAGTCTGTGTTGGTGAGCACCTTCATCTTGTTTGCTGCCCCTCTGTTGTCCTAAGCAGGACGTCCTTTCTCAGGGGCTGGTCTCTCCTGGCAACAAGCTGTCTCCTTGAGGGGCTTCCTCCTTTTTGCTGGCCCTCTACTTTACCAAGCATGATTTCATTTTCCATTCTGCCGTGCGTAGAGCGGCTATGACTTGGAACGGACTAAGGGCACCTAACAATAATCTAACAATAATAACAACACCGTTAGCAAGGCAGAACATGCGCTATGTATTTCGGAGATGCCTCACTCGTATTGTAAAATAAAAGGTATCTATCCACATTTTAATAATTTCCCTTATCATAAACTTATTTTTTTTTATTAGCTTTAAGATTTTTCTCTTGCTCAATGACAACAGCTGGTTACTGCAAATATAGACAGGAAGGAGTGGGGGAAACCTCTGTTTCTGATTTATTGTTTGTCGTTTGGGGACACCATGTGCTTCACTGTTACTGTACTTGGCACTTCCTTGAAATTCCAGCAAATCCTTTTAGGCATTAGTTTAAGAGGGTAGGAAATATGAGTAGAAAGTTGTAGACTGAATTGGATATGATTATTTCTTGGGCCCTCAATACTATTCCCTCTCACTAGCCCCATCCTAATGTCAAGTGACACTAAGGGATTAAAATGAGGGGTTTGCTTGTTTTCTTTTCCCTACAAATCTTTTGGGGTTTTTTTTGGTACATAATTCACTTTTGGACTCATAAGTTGTTCAATTTTACTAAAATATAGGCTGCCTTAAGGGAAGTGGAAGGGAAAATAGAGATAAACATAGATATTGGAGGTTTTTAGGTTATTGGATATTATTTGGTTGTGAAGTTTGGGTTTTCTATAGTAGACAACAGAGGAATTCTTGGCTCTTGAGGATTTTGACATAACTACATTTTTCAACCTATGCCAAGGCCGGGGAGTATTTTTCCCCAAATATAGAAATAAATCTATGCATAGACAGTAGTAAGTATTTTTGTTTGTTTTATTTAAAATGTCCTTTTAATACTTAGCTAATTATGTGCTCTATCTGAGCTGCCCCAGATTATTTTTGTAGCCGAATTATCAGGGAGAGTTTGGCTGACTAACCTCTAGTGGATCAGCCTCGTGCCAGTTCAGGCACCACTTGACGTATCCAAATCAACATGTCCACAGTTTGTCTGTCTGTCTTCCTAGAATTCCTTTCCTTTCCCAGCCTCACAGCGGAAATATTCTCTCCTGATGTTTCCTTTGAGATGTACGGTTAAAGAATTAATTGTTCCTTTTCTTTTTAAGAACATCTTCAACATGGGCTTTTGATAACTCTCCATAGCCCAGGCATCTTCCCAGTCAGATTTTAATAATAACAAAATCTTCTCTGTAAAACGGATATTTGCAGGAACTTAAACATAGGGAATGTCTATATTAAATATTATTTCAAAGAAAAGGTCGGTCGGTCTTCCTCACCCACCCCTCCCATGTCTCTCTCCCCAGAGCTGAAATAAGGTCTCAGTGAAGGCGTTTACAATGCCCTTCTGAGTTTGCCTTTGGGATTGTTCAATGTTTCTTTCCTGGATGATGATGACGCCGTTTGGATGCAATGTTATCTCCAACAATTCTATTTGTTGAGCAAGTACCATTTCTCCTTTCTTTTCAGGACATTTTAAAACACCAGATGCACGTACTAAAAATATATTAATAAAATGATGCTGACTTACAATCTGACTCGGATGTTCTGGAAAGCAAAAGTACAATCTAAAAGAAAATGCAATTTGAGGAACATATTTAGAAAGCATATTATTATCCCATTTCAAAAATGGAAAGCTACATGTTCATTGCATAATTTCCTCCCCACATCATAAATAACCACTCACTCCCTGCCCTTCGAGTTGGTGCCAACTCATGGAGGACAGGGTGGAACTGACCACGTGAGTCTCCAAGATTGTGACTCTTTACAGGAGTGGCACACTCGGTCTTTCTCCTGCAGAGCTGACGGTGATTTCAAACTGCTGACCATGCGCATCGCAGCCCAACGAGTTACCAGTACACCACCAGAGCTACTCATTAAATAATAGCTGCCTGATTATTAAACCGTCACCTCTATGAGGCATTTCTTTTCACATACCGTTAAACACTCCTGAAATGGATGTGACTGTCCCCATTGTATGTGCGTATGTGTGTGTGTGCGTGCATGCGTGCGTGTGTGTGTGTGTGTGTGTGTGTGTGTGTGATCAGAAAACAACCTGAGAGGTCAACGGCAAAGCAAGCATTCAAACCTGAGTGTGTCTGACATAAAAAACCCCACCCTCTGAATTGTGAGCCACATAGAATGAATAGAGAAAAACATTAATTCATTAAAGACCAAGCCCTTCGGCTATTGCTATTTGTTTTATTTTTAATTTTCAAAAATGTCTACAGGTTTAGCAAAGACACACAGCCAGTGGGTGACACTCCTTTCTATTCATTATCCTCTGATTTCTGAGCTCGCATGGGATGTTATTATTTGCTCTCACAGCATTCCAGGTTAATGCTGAAAAATTAGCCCATCTCCCTGAAATTGCAGCATTGAAAAAAAAATCCAGGAAGATTTACCATTGCTGTATTTGACTTTTTGCAACACATATTAAGTACAAAATACCCAGTGTGTGCCTGGAAATAATTGGCAGTGTCCCATTAAACCATATTAAAATTAACATCTATTAATTGGATTAGAAATTCAGTGAGAATGACAGCTGCTAGTGCCTTTTACAGTTACTTTGTTTCTCTATAATCCATATGGCAGGAGTCACATACTGCTCTCCCCCCACTCCCATTGAAATAAACACTTGACTTAAAAAGGTTTGACTCCATGTGGTCAGGGTATGTTCATTTCTTTTTTCTTTTTCTTTTTTTTAAAAGCTGGACCATCTTCTTTCTCCCTCCCATTCACAGGTTTTCACCAGCCATATTTTTATATTTGATTAGCATCGTCCCATCATTATGGCTTCTCGAAATGCACCATGAGACACAGGTACGAATTCTGGAAAGCAAGAAACTCCTTTCACATTATTAACAGATGTGTGTCAGATATCCCGTTTTCCCACGGACAGCGAGCTATGAAGAAATGGATGAACACCAAAGAGGCTATCAGCAAAAGGAAGTGAATCCAGGAGGAGTCAAAACCAGTAGTAAAATTGCTGCATTTGTTTAAGATTTAAGATTGCATGCCTGCTTAACATCTTGTGTTAAGAGAGGGTTTTCTTAGGCCCTCCCCATATGCTAGCGCTCATACAGGGGTGTGAACATTTGGTTTCAACTCTGCAGCTCCATTGCGTTTCCGTGTTGTGTTAAAAAGGGCAGGAGTTTACTAGTCTGACATCTTGTGAAATAACATTTTTATCAACAACAACAAGAAAACCCCATCATCTGTACTCTTTTATAGGATTAAAATCAAACTTGGAAGGACTCTTTTAAATAGACTATGTTACAATATGGGTTGTCCAGATTACTGGAGATGAATTTTGCGGGAGGAGGGCTCCAGGGTTTCTCTAGATCCCTGAAACTCTGGTTCAAGGATAAGAACCTTGGACTCCCCACTGGGACAATGGACTATCTCTTCTACAACCAGACTGACCTGGAAAACAAAGCCCAGCCCCATGGCATCCAGTGAAAGTACGGAATTGGAAGGATTACTGTTGCTGGAGAGGAGAAGCTCTATTTAGCAGATCCTAAGCTGGAGTCTTGCATTTATTGATCCTAATGGACAAGCCAGTTAGTCTAAAGTCCACAAGACTTGGTCCTGGACTTCCTATCTTGAGACTATCGTACACGAAAGAACTGGAGTGCGATGACATTTGGGGCATCTCACTGATCAAATGCTTTATCTAAGATCTGTGAGAATCTGACCATTTCTTTGTTACAATTGGGATTTTTATATAGTAAGGTTAAGCCTCCTATCTCTTTTTCAGATATTCAAAACCTTATTTTGAAAATGCTTGCTCTTGATCTTAGGCACACAGAGAGGAATTTAGTTTTGTGGAGTTTTTTTTTTTTTTTAAGACTTCCACAAGCCTCAGTAATGTAGATGTGAAGAAAATATTTATCATCCATGAATCTCATATTAACTCTTTTTTGAAAATCATTTGGGAATAGACTGGTCAGTTAATGTTATCATGGTTTTTTAACACT